TTTTAGTACTTGTATTAAAAAACTAAACTATCGTTGAACGTCGAAGAGGGTGCCCCCGAAACTCCTCGCCTGTACCTACTACACGTCACGACGACTACCGTCCGTTTTTCCGTGTCCACATTGGCTTTTCTTTCCTACTGAGATTATATTTAATTATTTAGATATACAACAAGGTTCTGAACGTAAAAAAACGTGAACTCGTAATTAAATTATGTTCATTGGAAAAGAACGAAACTAGAATTTTAATTCTGGCTTATTTTTTAGCTCAGCAGTAACGAATGTGTTTTAATCTCTAAAAAGGTACCAACGATATTAATATTATAAATTCTCGTATTTTTCTCCTTGGAAACGGAGTTAATAAGTGGATATCAAAAGACATAAAAATGGCCAACACTGACATCAGCGATTTGTATTACATTATAATATTTTATGGAGTACATTTCATTACGATAAAGCGAGAATGCTCTGAATTTGATTTTTTTTTTTTAAATATTTCATTTACATTTTTACCACATTTCAAGAGTTTGAGATTTCTGTAGCCAAAAAGTTTACTCCCTTTAACACTTAGAATTAATAACATGTTTATTAAATCATTATAATGTGCCTAGTATATTTAAATGTAACGAAATTAAACCGTTGTGTGTATAATACTATTATATTATGAGAAGATCAAAGTATAAAGGTATATGCGACCTGTATATTATGCCTGCATTCAACGATCATTCTGCATGCGTTTGACATATTTTGGATTAAAAACAAGAATAAAAAAAAATCATTTTTTGCTCATTAAATCATAACACGTCATATATTACCATCGAATGAGAGTCGAAAAAGGTACTGTTAGAGAACGGAACAAAAGTTTATTTTTAAATCGTTTGTTACGTAACAATATTTTTCCGATCCAGTGCACCGTCCCTTAGGAATCGGATGTACCAAATCTATAACATACCTCTTGATTTTCCTATCTAAAAACTAACTACTCGAGTAATTATAATTCCAGCACAGCGTACGTTCTAGTTATTATATTTTGTTCACTCTTTGGACACATAATTATATTTGTATTATTATTATCATTCCATCTGACTACTTGAGTGATACATTCGAGGAGCATTCTCTATGAAACTAAGTATTATATCATCAAGATTTTGAAATTCTTACGTCGTCATTGATGTCTTACTCGTAGTGGATTTGTTACGATTTATTTTTAAACCACTCCAACAACCATTGGAAAGTTCAATTATTTGAACATCGCCAGAATACAACAGCTGTCACCTACAATTTGTTACAAATAGAATACCACATACACCTTACAAACTATATACAATGTACAAAATATGTTTGTTGGCTACTGGGCCGCATTAAGAGGGTAGAAAGAGTCAGATAGGGGTAATTTCCTAGGTGGAACATTTTGGGAGGTAGTGGAAATACTTCAAAAATAGTTTCTAGATGATTTACGAATATCATTCGAACAAAATTGTATATTTCAGAAGTCATTTCAAGTCATTAAATGTATTTAATACCAAGAGTATACCAAAAAATCAGTACAATACTCGCAAATAAAAGTTTATAAAAGAAAATAATTTTATTTAAATGTATCCAATAATATTGACGAAGATGCAACTTTGTACAGTGTACACACGTCACCAATATCATCCAATTGAGCTATAATCATCTTCTTTGAACAGGATAACGTATCTATTTAAGATCTAGTACCAAGAAGAAAGTTTGAATTCATGGGCTGCCCCTAACAAAGAAGTAGTATCTAATAATGATGATAATTAACTATTTACAAATTCTTCAATCAACAGTCTTTACGTCGGAAAGCTTAATTTTTTTTTCAGCAGTACCTACACTATAATTAGTAACTTTTTTGGTTTTACTGAGAAATATAATATACTACTTACGTGGGTTCACAGTTAGTAAATAATATATAAATAAATGTTGATTTCTCTGAAAAAAAAGAAAAAAAGCCATTAAAAATATATGCATAATTATTAATTATATAAAAGAGAATCATTGCGATGTTGAGATGGAGTGTTAAAATAATTTTGCGCCGAGGGTAAGATTAATAAATGTGTGGCCCTGGTTGATTAATGTTTGTCGGTTGGTAAGCTTAAATAATTAAGCAAGACTGTTGTTATACTTTATTTGCAGTCGGTACATATTTTTGTCAGTAGATATGTTTATAAAATGTTTATCATTGCAGATGTACCTATACGAAATTTTAGCGCTTTCGCCGATAACTCGTCATCGTTATCGTGTCGGATTTATTTGATTAATTTCGGTTATTGCTGCGTTTTGTCGAACACCTTTACCACTGTTACACAAAATAAAATATGGGGTGCAAGTATTTTTTTTTTTACTTGAGCACGATTTAAACTAAATGTTTGAATACGGGTTAATCATTTCGACATTAATGCATGACCTAGCTATTGATTAAGCAATTTTGGCAAGATTTTTTCCATAGAATTATTGCAGATTTCTATAATGTTTGTTAAGCTAGATTTAGATTAAATTATACGGGATTTCAGTCGTTTAACTCATCACAGAAACAAATTTGACCTCCCTGTTTTTACAGTATAGCCTCGGTAGCTAGGATCAAATGTGGGTGTATAAATTGGAAAATCTAAACCCAATGTAATTGAAATTTACTTGTTCTACTTTTCGTCGTTGTTGTTGAAAAAAAAACACATTAACAGAGTTGCTTTTAGTATTTCAAGTCTCTAATGGCGTGTTTAACAAGATTAGAAAACTATTTTTGAGAATTTATTATTGGGTTTTTTTTTAAATTTTAAATTCAAAGTGTTGGACTTTCTGAGCTTAAACATTAACTCTCTTAGTTAGTTAATAATACATAAGTATCTATAATAAGCATCAATTAAGTATCCACTATTTTTTTTTATAACTAGTTTAACGATTAGATGAATTAATATAATTATTTGGATCTAAAAGTGTATTCTAATTTAAAACTGTTTTTCAAAAATGATTTCTAAAAATATTATAAGCACTCCCTCCAACAAATAAAAAAGTGTGTAAATAATATAATATCGGCAGTTGTTGCTTTTAACTTAATATATGTCATATTTTCTCAAAATATCATCACATCCAGACATTATATTGTTCGAAAAAATAATGTTGTTAAAAGTTAAATAAAATAAAATATGTGAGCGACAGATAACTGAAAGTGATAATATCATACAATACGATTACCATCAAATCAATATCATTTTATGGTTTATATAAAATATAGAATTTGAATAGCGAGCAGGTGTTAAGGGTACTAAAAACAAAAAAACAATGACATATTTTTGTCAAGTAGGTATATCAATATATTATTTTATTATTTCATTTTTATTTTAACAGTCAGCTTTTAATAACAGTAATACATTTAATTACAATATGCAAATATTACGGGTATAATTAAGTATGTTGGCAAAAATTACGAGATAATAATAATAGTGACGATGAGAAATTATAGTTTGTTCATTTGTTGTAGTCAATGTACGAAATTGTGGGTTGTTGTTGGTTATTGACATCATTATAATTAATGGTGCATTTTTTGCAAGGTTGGTTCAGCAAACCGGTGGATAATGTTTCCATTTCGTATTATCGGTGTGTATTGAAAGTTTAAAATTTATCATTGTTTTTGAATATGTGTTGTCGTATATTCTTTGTTTGTTGGTTTATTGGCTCATTCAAGGCTCAGTCGGCTCATGTGCCTCCGTCATTGTCACTCATCTCCCAAAACTCGTTTACAGGCACGCCCGCAGAGATGTAGCTCACTAGGTGCAAAATATTTTTAATATCAATATAAGATGTGGGGGGCTTTTCCCCCCACACCCCCCAGGCCCCCAACACTTATTACATGACATATATTATTTATCATCAATAATGGGTATAACAAAATATATTTAAAACATAACTCATTTTATTTATAACTTCTTATAAAATATAAAAATTATATAGAATTTTAGATGTATAACACACACATATATATATATATATAAATAATAGTGTACCACAGAATAGATGTCAGATAACGAAATTCATAATAATATTATTAATGACCAAAATAAATGTATTAATAATAGACGCGTGGTTAAACGTGACTGTACACAGTACTAAAATGCGGCAGACGGTGGTATCTCAGAATAGCCAGATGCCAGAATAGCTAATAAGTATTTAATATTTACTAAATTGGGAATAATCATGGGCATAAATTAAAAATTTACAGAGAAGGAATTTTATATTTTATTATTTATTTGAAAAATCCAAATTATTAAAATTCTCAGGTGGTGCATTTGCACCACCTGCCCCCCCCCCCCTCTGGGCGTGCGTGCTCGTTTAAGAAAATTAATTGCGAGATAACTCATTGTGTTTTCTTTACGAATATTATTTAATTTATTTTCTTTAGTAGTGGCAAATTCAGTGCCTTATTATGCTCGATACTCAAACAACATTTTTTTTATTTACTCAAATATACAAAAAATCGTTTTAACATTATTATACACTCCACTGTGAAACGTAATAGATTTTTAATCGTAATTCCGTGCCAAATATACTTAAAAAATATGCGCATTTAAAGTTTAGAAATCATTGTTCTGGTAATAAAAAGAACACTTTAATACTATTTATTGTGTTGAACTTTAGTTTTTACTGTACTTGGTACTTTTTTCGGATTCCCCTCGTTCCTCCGAGTAGACATTCGAAGTTGCGTATTTATACGTTTGGTACGAAACCCAGGTGTCCTGCAAAGAAAACGATGATTATTTAGTATTTATATTATAATTTCTATATTATTATTTTCAAATACAGTACACCAAGTACCAATATGGGAAATCTGTGATTATCGTAACGCACGTCGTGGGCTGTTTTATTTTTTGCAATAATGTACTTATGCAAACACAGAATGTAATATTGTAAAACACAAAACGTTTGTGCGACAATACCGGTAAAATGTATTATTAGTTTAATACAACGTTTATTTTATCATGTTATAGGAAAACCGGATATTCTCGCCGCGGGCATCACTCTGTTGATGATGGTGCTCCTTGCAGCTGGCGTTAAAAAAAGTTTGATATTTAACCATCTGATGAACGCAATCAACTTGGCGGCGTGGGTGTTTCTCATGAGCGCCGGATTGTTCTACGTCAATCTCGATAATTGGACTAAGAACGATGGGTTTCTGCCGAACGGCTGGGGAGGGGTAAGTTCGTCAAACTGTTGCTCGTAACGCGTTTATATAATAATAACAATATTGTGTAGACACAGTCGTATCATCAGTATTATTATTATTATTATTATCATTATTATTATTATTATTACTATCATCATATCATCATAAAAGCTTTGCGCTCGTCGACTCAACCATTAGGTGGGTTTATACGATATTATTATTATACAACCTATCGGTAGACTACGTTGATGTTTTGGCGTAAAATAATTTGGTTATAGAACTTGCAGGCTATGTCCCACGCGCAATAGCTGAATTTATTATATACGCGTAACTTCGTGTACCGAAAGTCAATATCGACGGAGGTAATAATAATATTGAAAACTCGTGGAGGTATTTTTTTCATTTTTTTTTTCTTTTTCATTTTGCCAAACGTTATTGTGTTTCACGCATCCAGTAAAAAAAAGTCAGTATAGGTACCTATTTATATGAATAATATAATATTATGGAATCGTTGAAATGCAGGTGTTAACAGACTACGGTCCTTTGTTGTTTTTAAGTCGTCAAATTTTAAGTGAAAAAATGACGTTATATAATATTGTCATGTACGTCACGGACTGTATTTGATCACTATTATAGGGGCCTTTTTAAGTTTGAAATTTCTATAATACGCGCACCTGCAGTGGGTGGGCTTAACAATTCACTCAAAAACCCCAAGTCGTTTGTATAAAATGTAACGAGAGGTACGCATTTGCTCTCTCTAATATTCTCTATGATAATATATAAACATTTAGTATAATGTACTTTTTAAAAATATAATTCATCTGAGTTATTTTTTACTGTATATCTACCTCCTTACACATTTTAATGTAAAACAACACTCGAAACGGTTCTGAATAAATTTGGTTAAAACTCAAATAAATTAAAATATAAGTTCATAAAAGCATTGTTGAACGTGTTTGATCAAGCAGGGTGTGAATTTAGGAGGATATTGAAATAAATTTGGCCTTAAGTTACAAACGTAGACTAACAGCATCCTGTGAGCTTTTTATTATGTATGGGTACATTTGTCCTTGTTCCCCAATGCTCACATAATCCTTTGATAATCCTCGCACACTATTTGCTTAGGTATGTAAATCATAGATTTATCTTGGTTGGTAGATAATTTGGTGCGAGTTTGTATATTTTCATTAGTTGATTAAAATGTATACCTATTACGTAATTAATTTGTTTTTAACTAAGTTTTTAAGATTTTGATATTTCAAAATAACGGACTTGGATATATTTTTGGCAAATTAATAGTTAACTATGGTACTTTAAATTAATAATTATATGAGATTAAAGGAGGAATTCTATTAAAATAGAGGACAAGTTAATTTTTTTTTAATTTTAAGTTTCAAGATATTATATTTCAATATAAACTACTTAAACCGACCAACTACCTAGTATATTGTAGATATTTTTTTTATTTTTTTCAAATTCGACCTTATAAATATGACTATATTATTTTTCTCTTGCTTTTATATCTTGGCTGGGGTTATTACTTTTTGAATGGTCTTCACCATGACGATTGATGGACGAAATCTATATGTCTCACGCATTGGATACATTTGACGTAGGAACCAACAAAAGTCGTACGATAACCGCGATGAGCTATATGGCCACTCAATCATTTTGAAAGACAAGAAGGAGCTGTCAACGATAGTACGAATTCAATTCTATTGTGTGATATTTTAGTGTAAATAACTCAAAATGCATAGGTATAGGTACTACGTGTAATATAATATAAATAAGGACGAAAATAAAATAAATACCCATGTACCTATATCGCGTCAATAGATTTTATTTGTTTCAAACAAATATTTCGAATTATCAACAGAAAATATAATATTGAAATACAATATAATAAATATTTCATAGGTACCTCCTAATCGAAATTCAATTTCAGTGGACCAAGTTTACACAAGTAAAGACGTTTATAAAAAGCTATAATATTTGTTACTGATAATGAAAACTTATTATGTAAATTTCTCCTTAGATATCGCTATTTATTGTCGAAGGTTTTGATTGTATTTCAGAATAACATTGCCGTTGTCCAAACCAAAATATTATTCGTCCATCTGGCACGACGTATAGCAACTTATAAGTTGAACTAAATGAATAGCTGTTGATTATTTTTTTTAGTACACCACCCAACCAATTGTAAACACTCGAAAAGCATTGTATTGTTATAAATAATATAGTATGATAAAATAAAAAAATGAATTTTCACTCTGCCATAAATGAAGGCAGTGAAGGCGAATGGCAATAAATCGTGCTCGTATATAGGCAGTAACCGGTCTAATAATACTGCCGAGAATAGTCACCTCGTTTTTACGACCACGTCTTCAGTTCGGTTGATTACGACCTCTTTTTCTGTCCTTTTTTTATTGATCCCTCAGTAACTGCACTGCAATCTCGTCCATGTTAACAAAACCCATTTTAACGTCTTGAAATACCTTTGGTGCTCTTGTACCGGCGACTATAAAATTACTTAGATATACAACTACAACTTAAGTGTAACAGTGAGTTGATATAAAATTATATACATTTACCAATTTATTATTGAACCTAATCGACTTTTAGACATATCCAAATAGTTTTCTCACAAAAAAAAGAACAGAGTTCCTAATATAAATGAGTAAATAATATGTTATAAAAGTTTATATTTTTTTTATAGGTAATAAATATATAAGTAATGAAATTATTTATTATAATAGATTAGTCATAATCATACGTAAAATATAATAAACAATTATAAACACGTTTAACCCGAATTCGTTACAAAAGGTACATGAAAGAGAAAAATATAATAGTATGCTAATACTACCTATTAGTTATTACACTAAATATGTTGTTATTATGTAATAGCTAAATACGTTTTGACACATTTGTTGACAATAGTACATCATAAAAATTAACTTTGAAAACATGATACATATTTAATTGTAAGATTTGTCATATTGTAATATTAAGTAGCACTTAACGAAATAGTAGGATACGAATAAAAACACTGACTTTAGGCGCATCTATATTATTAATCCAGCTTGGAGTTTAATTAATAGGTATAACCGGCTTTAGATTTATAGAGGCTATTGAAGAATATTTTTAATGACATTGAATATCAAGTGAGGTGTAAAGATACATAGGTGTTTGCAGGGTCATTGACGATGAAACAATTTCGTTTAATTAAAACGGACTTGATGATTTCCGCGAGCCTTTACTTAACACAGAAGTTATATTTCAAACACAAGTTTAAATTTAGAGAGTACATCTTGACAAATTACAACGATGAGAAATTATTAAGAGTTAATTTATAGCTTTGTAATTGGATTTATTTTTTGAACAGTGGAACAAAACGATATTTGAACAGTTTACTAATACTGACGGTGGTATTGTTAACACGTATGTAATTTACGTAATTTAATATTTTACTAACAATATTGTATTGGCGTGTGGGTTGATTGGTTTAACAAAGCATGAGAGTCCGGAAAAACTATATCCCTTACACAAACGAAATAAGTAATAAGCACAAAAAGGATATCCTAAACAGCCTGGTGTACAATTCCAAAAAAGTATATAATAGTATAACATTAAAATGTAAAGGAATATCATGTGTATAATGACATATTATTATATCTAGTTCTTTGAGTTAAGACAGAGTCAAAGAACTGTGCCTATATAATTATGAATCGATATTTTTTAGCTAGTGATTAAAAAAATTATACTCGTTGTACATTTTTTTTAAACATTTTGAAAAACAAGGTTACTTATAGATCATTCACGATTATAGAAAATGCGTTGCTATAGTAAATTAAATATTACATAAGCAAAATGATAACCTATTTATTATATTATTATATATAACTGTACATTTTTGTCAGCTAAAAATATTCTGCTATTATGAAATAAGTTTATGTTTTAAACTAGAAAATTTATTTGAGAATTTTCAAAGTCTATAACATTATTTTAGGGAGTGTTAAATCAGGGCTAAATCGAAATTGGATCTCAGATGGTAATATATTTTTGAAGAATTTAACTTACCAAAAATACTAACAAAATTGATAGAAATAACTGTATGAACAAGTGTTATAGAAAAGCTGCAAAACGACAAGTATGGATAGATATGAAAATATAAGTAGGGAAGCATATTGTAAACAATTTTGCATAATATGAATGTATCCTTAATAAGTTCTTCTCATCATCTAATTGTCTCCGTTCGTTGTATTTTGCTCTTGTTCGGTCCATACTCGAGTATTTTATTATAGTCTGGCACGCTCACCTTGCTAAGGATCAGTTACGTCTTGAATTTGTACAACATACATTTTTATCATATGTTGCTTTTATTCTTAAATTACCTTCAACGAACCATAACTATTCCGATATTTACCGTTATCTAAATATACCTTCTTTGTCTTCTACCTGTAATAATATCTATTCGTAGTACATTCATACATCTATACACAATTCTGTGGATGCACCTAACCTTTTATTTCAAGTTCTATTTAAAGCACTCTCTCACAATGTTTTAAATCATACTCCTTTGTATACTGCTATTCATTCCATTTCCTTCATTCACATCCATCCCATGCACAGAATGCTGAGGTCTGCCAATATAATATAGGTAGTTTGATCTTTGCCCTTTAATTTTTTATTGTTTATCTACCTCATTATTTACTGTTATACTATTATATGGTTACATAGTTTATATTGTATAGTTTTGATTAATATAATAATATCATATTATATTATTATCATCTATCGTTTCACTCTTTTGTAAAATCCTGCAGTTGGAGTTTTGCTTTGAAATAAAAAAGTTAAAGTGACTACCCATCCAGTAAGTACCTACTTATGACTATTCTCAATGTTCACTTTTAAATCATTAAATTTAAAAAAAATTTCTACACGGTAGATTTATTCTTTATTTTTATTTATTTAGAACTTCAAAAAGCTATAAACATTTATTTTAGTATACGAATAAGAGATTTGAGAATTTTTTTGTACACAAGTTTATGAAACGTGACGACTATATAAATTAACGATATCTTGACCTTTATCTCCCATGCCATTATAAATAAGAAAGCTCAGAAAATTTCATTTAGATTAAATTAATATTAACACATTTTGTTTATAAATAATAATCTAAAAAATATTTATGTTTGTATTATTTTTGTAATTGCACATTTTTGGCGTTATGTATTATAATTTGAGAAAATAAATCATTCATAAGACTTTTTACTATACACTAAATGCAAATTGAAAACAAGTTTTTGCAAGATATGTATGAATATAATATATAGGTATACATGAATTTAAGACAAGGATAGTTTTGAAATTTAAAGAATGACAATTACATAATTTTTTTTCTTTATACTTTATACCTACTTAAAAAATTAAATCAAGAGTGCAATTAACCTTCACAAATAGTTTGGAAATGTTGATAAGAACAATATTGTTTATCATTGTAGTTGCGGATAATGTACCTATAAATTTTTCATAGAAACAATAGATAGATAATAATTATTTAAAACTATTTTTTTTAGAAAACTTATAATACATTGCAAGTTGTAACACATTTTGTAAAAAACAGTGAACATTAAATGTTATCAGTACGAAGCATTTGAACTTAACTGATGTTGTTAATTCGTTTTTGATTTATTGTTTATAAGACAATCTTAAAACAATATTAATAGTTAAATGTGGTTCAACTTTAGATTTATGATGTACCTAAAAGCTTATTTTGACAAATATTGTATGTTGTACACGAAAACACTCTAATGCGATCGGACAAAGAGTATACGTCATCATTCCTAGACTATTTAAAATTATTTTTTTTTGAAAATCAATAATTGACTTATGTCTACGCTTTTCGATCTTGGATAGCTATATGAATAATTTACAATAAATTAAAAAGTATATCCATTTTTACGTACGGTCTAATGAGAAAGATGAACTTACTGATTCGCAGTAGAAAAAAGTTACATATAAATAATTATTTATTACATTAATTAGTTTCAGATGGTAGTATTATTGTTTAAAAATGATTAGTTGGAACAGAAAGTTTGATTCAGGTAAATTTAATAACAAAATATTATTATTTCATCAGCTATTTTTTCCGCCGATAACGTTATTAGGCTCAGACTAGTTTTGTTCAATTTCAATTAGAGATAATCTTCGATGGTTATATAGACACTCTATAGGTACTTCTAATAATAATTAAGCTGAGAAGATACCCAGTGGATATATTCTTATAATAATTTCTCAGATTTGTGTTATGTACCTAGCCATGCCTATATTAACTATCAATATTGAATATATTTAAATTCGTTTTGAACGATTGTACTCCGTTATACGTTATGACAATATAACATGCCAGATTTCAAGGAACGTAACTAGGTCACTTATTTTGGTGTCCCACCTTCAACAGAAAAAGGACGAAGAAAATTAAATTAAATGACAATAATTAACACTGCAGGGTAGTGGATTTAAACATATTGCAAGATGTTATAATGTAGACAAATTAAGTTTAAAAGTTTAATGTCAGGTTGTGTCCAACAATTTTATAATTTAACGTCTAGTTAAAATTTAATGGACCAATCGTGGTTACTGTTTGATGTTAAGGGTCTGTTAAATATTTGAGTATCTGTTAAACTCTAATGGACGTTTGTCCAGCTCAGTATAAATATATAGAGGATGATAAAAGTAACTACGATGTCGAGTTATCAGATAAAAGCGGCTCGTCATAATATTATACTCGTAGAGACAATATAATAATTATATAGCATGCGTATGACGTAATATTATTATTAAATATTTTTTGTTTATGATTTTTATTTTTACTACATTTTTGACAAGTATTATAGAAATAAAAACCTGATTATTCGATGGGTACATTAAAATATTATAGTTAAAAAAATCTAATAATATAATATGTTATGTATTGTTTTTTTTTTTAATGAAAGAACATTACAATCTATTTAGCTTAATACCAAAGTTTTATTTATGTTCACTAGCAAATGCCAATATTATATTATGTGACCACTAAACAAGCTTTCTAATAGTTTAACTCAGCAAATAACGATTGCAATACTAATAACCAGAGCACGGGTCTTTATGCACTAAAATACAATGAAATATTATGTGAATTCCAATGTTTTACAAAAATCTTAAATAGATAATACGCAATTTGTTTTATAAAATTAACATTTATATGGGAATAAACTCCAAAAAAGACAAAATATTTCAACAATTATAACAATATGCTTATTATATTATTATTATTATTGTCATTATGAAAAATGTATTTCCTAACTAAATAGTAGTTGTACACAGAACTTGATATACTAATAGTCATATAACTGTCAAATTTATGGTATAGTTCAAAATATATTATATGAACGTGGGGATATTGGCTCTTTATATTATTAAATAAGATTACTTTTTTAGTTAAAATTTTTTTTGTCGTTTTTTAGAAACAATGCATGAAATCATTAAATATGCAATATATTTTTTTGGGTAGTTTGTATTGTATATCTTATGAAACGAATTTGTGTTGAATCAGATTTTGAATATTCAGCTTTTAAGAAAAATGCAAAAGCATAAACTTCCGAGCACTGTTAAAAATAATGAAAATAAATACACTTTTATTATTTAGACGTTCGTTTTAATTTAAAATATAATATATTTCCATGTTTAATATGAACTTTTTGATTTCAAACATAGCGCTGAAACGCTATAGATTTATTTCACGAGATTTCACGAGATTTCATGATATTTGATTTTTTCAGAGTATATATACTCTTAGCTCTGAACTGTTAATATAATTCAGCTATTTATCATTGAATCGGAAGACAACCATACCGGTGGCTCATGTACTCTGAAACTCTTGTATGGTCGATCGCGCTTTCTTTTACATTTTTAAACTCTAAAATACCGAAGCGTATGTTACACACGCTTGAACGTGGAATAAGCTAAAAACAAATTAAATATCGAAGTAGAGGATCCCAATTCGACGGGTCGAAATTAAATTGACTAAGAAACTTACTAAATTCTTACTGACTACACGTTTTTACAACGAAATATAGGGAATCTAAACTGGAAATCTAGTTATTCAATTAGAAAATAACAATGGAATCAAATTTAAATTATAAATAATATGTACCTAACATTATATATTTTCATATAATTATATTCTATGTTGTAAAATTAATATATTTTATTGATTTTATTAATATATTATTTTGGATTATATTTAATAGATAAATAATTTAAAAAGTAGAATTGGCTGAATACACTAATATTATTATAATGTTAATTTTTTTAAATATATATTTCATAAGAATTCCATTTTATAAAATATATTTGTATTACATAACAATATAAAATACAATACAATCTATAAAAGATATGGAATAAAACAAACACAAATTCATGGAGCGTTTGTCTTATGACAGAGGTATTCCGGGAGTGGAGATGCGTATGATAAATTGACGAATCTGTATAATATGAGAGGAAATTCTCAAAGAATACGAAAACACGTTCAAAAAAAATAAATAAATAAATAAATAAAATATACAACACAAAATAGCTTACATAATAAGAGCTGCTGGCCATGAATTTACAGAATGCAATGATATTTTCACTCGTCCACAAGATCTGCAAAATATAATAATAACAAGTTATATATAATATTTAATAATTATGATTTAAAAGACATATTTTGATTAATTCATTATGAACGTCAGAATGTTCAAGTAATTAATGATTGTTTAATGCTGATGCACTAAACACAATTTTAATATATATCAAAATATAATGCTATTCCAATTTATTGGTTGGGTACATTCTCAAAAAAATTGTGAAGCAATTATATTCCATATTATTATCTATACTCATAAGAATCTTGGATATTAATATAATACGCTAATCATATTATACGTGCGTATCTGTGATGAGGTTTGAATGTCATAGTTCGTTAGCTTTTATATATAATATATAATAATTGATATTGCCTTGGGAGTGATTTATTTAATGTACATTTATTTTGTTGTTATACAGGTGTTCAAAGGGGCGGCAACTTGTTTTTACGCTTTTATTGGATTTGACATCATCGCTACCACCGGCGAAGAAGCTCATAACCCGAAAAAATCTATTCCACTGGCTATCATGGCTAGTTTGGTTATTATACTTGTAGCCTATGTTAGCTCTTCGATTATTCTCACACTTATAGGTAAGTAATTATTGATAATTAGCAACGAAAACTTCTAATAATATATTATAAGCTCCCAGAGCCATTTACAAACGGGCTTACGCAGTTATTTTTAAATGTCGTTGTAAGAATAATATCGAAATTAAAAAACAATTAAAATAATATTAAATGCATAAGTATATAAGCCACGTAATACAGTTAAGGATATAAATTAAACTAAGTTGTTATGGCATTTTAATAATAGTATACACTTAAAAATTAAAACTAAACCATTAGGTATTAATATTTTTTTTTTTGTTAAGTAGAGATTGGTTCTATAATTTATTGTTCGGAGCTGTATAACGGTATTAAAGCAGGTACCAAACTTTATTTTACTGCAAATTATTTAAAACAAAGGTGAATTTAATGAAAACAGAGATAAATTTCAATGATTTAAAATAATGTAGTTTTTTTTAGAATTCCACATAAAGTATTATCATAACCGTAATGCGTTTGTACTTGTCTTAATATAAAAAAACAACATTTAAAAAAAAACCTGTATAATATTATAATAAGTACTTTTTTGAATTATTTCATAACTATCGAACTCTATGGGATATAATCGCTCAACACTAAAAATATTGTTTAGTTTATTTTTTTGCATTTTGTTTTAGCTGTTATCCGTGTCAACTATTTATTACATTTAAATGTTTTCATTATTTAAAGTTATCAACTATGCATTTTTATCGAATACAATAAACCTTATAAATCAGTTTTATTGTATAAAAAATGTTTAAAAAAATTCAGCTTTTTAATTTTGATTAAAATCATCACTATAGTAATAAATTAGTGCACACGTGCTCCATATTATAATTATTATGGAAACATTATTGAATAACACAAGTCCGTATAGGATATTATACGTATCATTATGAACCACTCACCTTGATATTATAATATAATTTATTATCAATACATAAATAATTTTAATCTTTTAATCTATTACTTTGAGTAAATACCAAATCAATGTAAATATAGTAAGTGTTTTTTTGTTTAGAAAACGTAATTTTTTTTAGAATAATTTTTCGTACAATCTACTGCTAATTAAGTTTCGATAAAATGTTAATACTTCATTTTCATTCTGGAGCAATTTTACTACTATTTAGAAAAATGAAAAAATGCCGAATAATCCTTTTTATCCTGTTCGTTTTTTGTCTTTATAGTAAATCAACATTTACGATATCAAAACAAACATTTGTAAAAACTCCCACATTTGTAGACTGAATGCTTACACAACTTGAGATAATATTTTATTTTCTTCAGTGTTTGTTGTTAGATATTTTGTGATACGTATATTAATTCAATATCCTCCTCAGGTCGATCAGATAAAATAACAAATGAGTAAGACAGAACTAGGGGAGAATACAAAATATATTTTACCTCTCTCCATTCCTTTTATTTAAACTAAACGATTTAAATATTTATAATTTGTTATTACAAACAACAATACCGTTTTAATTCAATTATAATATTATGTAAAACTAAATTGGTAAGGACCGTTTTGAAATCAAGCCATTCTTTTTTTTTATGAAAATAAATAAGGGTTTCAAACAATGTAGTACAGAATACAATTATTCGTAACTTCATGTCATTTCGTTTATTAAGATAATTAAAAACAATTTTCTATTAAACCAAATATAGAATCAGTGATAACGTATGATTGTTGTATAATATATATAATTTATACATTATAATTATTGCGAGCACATATAATAAAATATAATTATAGAAAATATGCACTTTGCAAAGCCCATATTATAGCTTTCAACGGCTGTTGTTATTTTTATTTGAGTTTTGTGTAATTTATACTTTTTTTTTCTATATATATAATATAATGTAATAATATTTTCGTCTCTGTAGCATTTATAGTATTATTTATATACTTGTACACAAGCGAAACGACCACAGCTTTATTATTATACAAGTTGATTCTCTTAAAAACTATTCAGAACTATAGCTTTTCTCTAACTTATTTCAAAATTCGCCGGAAATTACTTAACATTTGTTCTTAGCCCAAAATAATAATCATTCGAATAAAAGGCCTCTATAATTTATAAAGCTTGGGAAGTATAACTGCGCATAACCGTTCAAAACAAAACTAATTTTCGAGTCTAATCTTATTGAAGTGAATAACATTAAAAGTGTTAATTGTTTTCAACCATGTATATCCTGTTTATCAGGTTTAGCGAACAGAAACGTAACGAATTCGATAATTTTATTATTATACTACTTTTGCTAGTTTTGTTTAAGAAGTACCTACCCATGATATTCGTGTTGTAAATGAACGATTGTTATTGGCCGAATTTATTATAACTTTTATACAAATGGGCGGTCTGCTATTGGTACGACAACTCGCGCCACCATGTAGGGCAGTACAAAAAAAAATATCAAATAATGAAAGCAATAATAAATAATATGCCAAAACGAATAAAAATATAAAATATTGTGTATTGCGGATGATTATAGAAGAATATTATTAAGTCGCTGGTGTAGAAGTCGCGACAGCGTAACAGTTAATACACAGTTATTACCATTACCATGGTATAGTATTAATCGATGATCAAAAATAATAACAAATGCCGAGTGTGATGCGGGTAAACACAAACAACGAGTGCAGCATGATATCCAAAAATTTAAGATGTTGATGATCTCAGCACGATGTCCATATCCATACAATCCATTCTGACCCATTTCGCGAAATGGATATAAATCTCATCCGGTTGAAGAAAAGGAACTCAATTTTTTGCACACCGCGTAATATCACACACACAATATGGATAACTCTTCACGAAAGAGACACTAACTGACGCGGACATTTAATAGCACAAATGATCTTTTTCCGTGATCTGTGCGCATCCACACAAAGAAACAAATAATATACGTCGTAGGTGTTGGATTTTCAAAAATAAAAATAATTTGTCATAACACTGCTGAGACGTACCTCATCGATACTAATGTGCATTTTCAACGGTCTTGTGGGTATAATTAGCCGACAGTTGTATTATTATTATTATTTATCTGTGATCAGAAAATTGTAAATTAATATATAATTACCGATGGCGGGGGTACCCCGAAATACTACAGTACTTATTTATGCATCTATTGACAATGATGGTGCACAAACACTAATGCCGGGTTGCATAAAAATTTCATTAATTTAGTGGTTCAATAAAGTTTAACAGACCTGCAATTATAGGCTACTAAATCGTGTTTAAGATACCATTATAGTTCCCTATTGATGCATTAACTGTTCATATAGTAATCGTTCACGGACCTTCGTTCACGATACCAGGAATAATAAAATGTCTAAAAATATCAATATCGTTATGATAAATAAATTATTATGATCAATATATGATTGTTTTTTATTAGAACATTTGATAATAAATAGTGGTACCTAATTTTTATCTATAGTTGGTACCAACTAAATTTAAAAATCTAAACTAAGCATCAATTAAATTAATTTTACCGTGGCAAACTGCTTTGTGATTTTGAGTGTCATATTGATTACTATCACGACAGGCAAAGGTACTTATTAGTCGTACATTTAATTTAGCAATTATTACACTTCTGAATCCCTGTGGTCCAGGTAGTGATATTACTCTGTTTGCCAGGACGCTCTAACACTGCACGTGCTCAGGCTGCCAGGGATCTACATATCTCGTATCAATCGCTACGGAGAGTAGTCCTCAGCATCATGTGTGTATGGAAATTTAATAAATTGTTAAAAATCCTTACAACTATTATGCAATTGTAATCGTTGTAATATGTATTAATTGAATAAAAATCGTAAATGACGGTGATAGTGCTGTTGACGTTTCCGGCAGCATCATCGTGGATGCCACAAGAAAAAAAAAAGATAGCGTTATTATCTAACCCCGATTGACGTATTACATTATCCGGAAAATTGTACATTAAAATAGATAATTACTGGTGGTGGGGGTGGCACGAAACCGGAAACACTGCTGTAGTATTTCTACATTTCCGTGAGTGACAGAACACAGTATGACACTAATAAAATTGCTTATCTATATGAATATAAAAATGGAGCCAAAAATGTATAACAATTCATTAATTGAGAACGGCTGTGATGATTTGGCTCAAATTTTTTTTAAATTCTTTGTAATTTTCAGGAGAAGGATTTTACGAAAAAAATTTTTTGGTGATTTATTTTTGAGTTCTGGAATGTTTTTTCGAATTGAAAAAGCTACAGCAAGCTTAAGCTTATAAAATTGTCCATATGACATGATTAATCGTTAAAATGGGGCCCCCGGCCAACACCAAAAAAATTGATCAACATGGAGAAATATGTCATGTACTGAATATTAGGTATTAATATTATGTTTCACAATATTATCAAGTAAAGTTTAAATTTTGTAAAGTGATAATTTTCGTATCGTTTTTGCTCTGTTCGATTTTATTTAAAGCCGTATTTACCCTCTCTTTACATAGAACACAATAGTCGATAGTAGAAATACAATTTAGGTTTTATCTGTATGAAATTTTCAGTTGTTCCTTACACGAAAAACTGCGTGTGTACAATTTTATTTTATTTTACTAATTAGCAATCATTTATTTAATTCCTGCATTTCTTATAACATGAACGTTTAATTAATCTAATCATTATTAGAAAAAGTAAATGCCAATATTGTTTAAATTTTTTGTTGTCATAGTAAATCCATCCATATTGCTGACATAAAAATAAAAATTAAAAAATAATATTATTATAATTACAATTTTAACGTGGGTTTACTTAGGCTTTACAATCTTATTACGCTCCCATTATTCCAACAGCAGTGGTGGCCGAATGGGTTAACGTGTCATCATTTAAGCAAATGATCAATAATTTAATTCAACAGTAAAAATCAAAGTTCAAGTTTAACACAAAGTGGGATGGAGGGCAACCTAATCGATGCCAAACGAACCACATACATTTTTACAAATTTACTTTATAGGCGGCGAGGACTAGGAAAAAAATGAATATTTGGTTATTTTGTTATTTTTATAGGCCGTCATCGTTCACGCTCCATATCTCTTTCAATCATATACATGTATATAACATCCCCACACACTCACAATAATTTTGGATTTTTAAGTTATTTTACAAAAATATTCATTCGAAATAATGTGTATGGCTAAACAACATTTTCCGCAAGTATATTGCCTACCTGATAATAAACTGCTCGCGTTATCACAATCAAATCTCTTATGTAGAGATGGCATTTTTAACGGGCAACGAAGTGCAAGGGATCAGCTAGTAATATATAAATCTACGGGCTGGTGCACGCCAAAGCAGCGCGAAACCGGCGATCGCATAATAATTGAAGCAGTGGGAATGCAGTGCACCGCAATGTTGTGCGCCCGAATCACGATACCACATGTCACCATATTGTGTCAAAGACTTGAACGAAACACGTTCGTGTCATGCAAGTGCACGCACAACAAGCTCATCTGGTACGATAAAGTTATTACAGTGCGACCGACATTATGCGTTTTTGGCGACGGACAGACGGACAAGCAGACACGCAAGTGCAGTGACGCCGAACGCGTACTTCGGGTAGTTCAACTAAACTGCTTCCCCAATTGGGTGGGTGATGGATGCCGGGTGGGTAAAATTATAGAGTAGGTATACTACCTTGTATTCCTGCCATATTGTTTTATTAAACAGTCAGAAATGCTATTCGATTGTTTATATTATATATAGTTGGTTAAGCCCGTTTGAAGGGGTGGGTGGGTCAATCGTACTTCTTTAACTTTCAGTTTTAATTTCAAAGTATTATTTAATGGACCAACTCGGTATCATTTGCAAAAAAACAGCTTGCCATTCGGTTTTAGATCATATTCTTGTAAAATATATATGTAACGCAGACCAATCGTTCGTCAATTGAATCATCGACCGATTTTGCGCAAACGGCACAGAGCATATTTTTATACCCGATACCTGGTACTTGTCTATAATCGGTGGATACACCCTTGACATATGTAAATAAGATATTAAGGCCGTAAGACAGGGTCGTACTCGATCCGTAAGCACGATTATTAACACGTCGTCAATAATGACACATATGTTGGCCAGCTATCGCAGTGCGATGGGCTTTATCGTTTCTCGAATGCGAGATAACAGATAATATTGTATCGATAGGCTTGAGGTCTGCTGACCGTAGGCGCGAATCGCAGGGTGGCTAAGTGGGCTTAGCCCCCCCCCCCCACAATATCCCATTAATCACTCAAAAGTATACAGTTTTTTAGTTAGATGTGTATATAGTGGGATCGAAGCCTCCCGCTCAGATCGATGTTGAAAATGTTAGCAACCCCCCCGGAGAAATTTTACGGATTTCCGCCTATGCTGCTGACGCATGAAGTCGGGACAGTGTTTGCCGAAAATAACAAGTGAAAGTACCGAATCGCGTGGCAACTCCTCTTCTGAAACGAACGCCGCGATATCTTCGGAACTTGCGGACGATTACACGACGACGTCAAACACGACCTTCGATTTTCTTCGACAGTCTGCGTGTAATGCTGAACATCAATAATAGGCACACCGGCGCAGAACAAGACGTAAAGGATGAAAACAAACAAGTGTGCCCGAGATTACCCGACGGGACAATTAATAATTTTCTCGCCTAAAATAATAACACTCTAGAAACGTTTTTAACTGTCTTGGGAATTATTTCGTAAAAGCTAATAAGCCGCTCAACTTTAATAATATCTGTTTACAAAGTTTGAGTCTCATTCGAAATTTGACAAGGTAAACCGTTTTAACATAATATATACATATTTCCAGTGGTGTGGCTGGCAGGAAGGTTGTTTTGGTATACGAACACCTCCCTTCGGCCGTTTTTATGCAATAAATCCGAAACATGCTTTTCCAGCCACATAAACAATAATATGTTGTCGTACGGTTCTATTTTAAATATTTTATGATAATATTATTATGAAGGCCAAATATGACTGCAGCTAACTGTGTATTGTACCCCCCCCCCTCCCAAAAAAATTTTAATTTGAAATACCCCCAAAAAACCCTGGCTACACAGCTGTCTAAACCAGCTATATATTCGATTTATTTATAAGAAACGGTTTTTTTTTGCAGTACCGTATACGAAAATCGACGAAAACGCAGCTCTGCTGGACATGTTTGTGCAGGTTGGTGCGCCAAGGTGTCAGATGATCGTGGCCGCGGGTGCGATGGCTGGGCTGTTGGTGAGCATGTTTGGTTCCATGTTTCCGATGCCCAGGATCATTTATTCGATGGCCCAAGACGGTTTACTGTTCAAGTGAGCGTCCGAAACGCGAGTAGACGATTTTTTTTCGTCAATTCAAACTTTTATCCCCGAGACGATTGCAATCGTTATCGTTATTAAATTACATTTTTGTATTACTTATATGTAGGTCACTAAGTCAGATATTTCCGTTGACCGGTACACCGGTTGTGGCCACCGTGCTGTCCGGCGTGGCGTCCGCGGTAGCCGCTCTCGTCATCAATCTGGACACGCTGATCGAAATGATGTCCATCGGTAAGTATTTCAACCGGTTAGGTTTATGGGTAGTTTTTTTGGCACGTGTAGTAAATCCTTACATTTCATTAGAATCACGATTTATATTTTCACGAAAACAGTGATGTAGGTAAGAACAAAAACCACAAATCATTAAATCGAGTGCAACAAGAACCCATGTTATTTTAATCATATCATGGAGCTGAATAAATCTATACAAAGTCGGTCGCATTTGCATATTTGTGGGAACTGAAAAGCACGTCTGCATATTCACATGGTATTGTGACTTTGTTCTGTCTTAGGTTACACACGACATGGTAAATTTGCGTTCAGCAGAACGAAATAATATTTATGGTACTTATGCAATTACTAAAAAAAAACGTATAAACTTTTATGCGAAGTGTGATATAGTTTATACATAAGTATAATATTATATAATAAGAGTTGAATAATTTCCCACATATATATTTTTTTTTATTGATCTAAAGCCCGGCAACTAAGACCAATAGTTGTTTGTAGGTTATTTTGAAATACGTTTTTATATATTATGTGGCAAAGATGTGTTGCTGAAATCCCTGGTGGTCACCCATCCGAGTGCTAAGCAACGATGGCCGATACGTATGCTCAGAACGTTCCCGCAGATTGAGCGTAAGACCGTGCCTCATCAAGCCACCCATCAATTAATATTGTTGGAGTATTCTAAGGGGGCTTATTAAAATATTTATGGTCCATTAACATATTGTGTTTTACTTTTTATTTGTCTTTGTATGAATTATAATTGTATGACATAATATGATTTATCGCGTAATGCGTATACTTTAGTCAAATTAATATTAATTAGTTAACGAGGGGTTTAATTTTTGAAGTTAATAAATAACGTATTTGCTAATTGTACCGTTTGTTTTAAGCTTAATCGGCGTTCGTAACATGTATCATGCGTGAAATAGGTTAGATTACGTAGGTAAGGTAAATACTAACGATTTGATGAGTTATTCTAGAATATTTAATACTTTAATCACTTATCCTTGACCACATAAATACCTTGCTTAGCGCAACACATAATTTCCGGTTTCAATGCATTTTTCACATTGTTGTCCCGCACTTTAATTTGGTTCATCACTTTTCAGATGACCTACCTAAGAGATATATTTTCAACTTCGTTCACAATACTATGTTCTATAATAATTTTGATTTGAAATTCTAATATTTTAACAAAGCAAAACTATTTAATCCCGAATTCCCTCGGCCAGTAACGATATAGTTTAGGATACGCTAAATAGTATCTAACACAATTTTTATATTTATTCATACTCATTTCAATGTTTTGTTTGAAATTACATGTGTTTGACCCGCTCCCCACAAATAAATCTCGTGTGAAAGAAAATCCCATTTTTGTAGATCCAACGCGTTATGAAAACGAAAATTTCAAGAGTTAGTAGGTAGCAATATTATTATGATATCTCATCATTATGTATAATGCATAATATTATACTATATATAAAGTGAGCCGATGAAATCTTGAAAGCTTTTGAAACCATGTCGGGATCAGTGGGTAACATCCGAATAGAGATTTGTCATCAGAGAAGTCACCTATTTACCATTGTGTTTTGTATTGAAAGGGGTTCGGTGAATAAAATAGATACGGTATAATGTGGGACTATACGGTACAATAACCATTCCGTATTACCATTTATACATAATATAAGTATTGTACTCTCATATTATTACATTGTTGTTTATCGGAATTTCACGAATAACAGTCATCGGGCCAAATCCAAAACAGCAATATAATCTAACATTTTTGACATTGATATTCTTTAGCGTTATCCGCGGTGGAACAACATAATTTTAGTTTCCAAATAATTTAGATATATATTGACTCAAATCAAAAATGATAATTATAGTAATAATATGACTTCATAGTGTTCATACACCGACGTCGCTCGTACTTACTATTTATAAACCTTCAGGTATGTTAATTTCGTTTACTGCAGGGACTAAAATGGAATTACGGTTAATTTATTGTAACGTTTGAATAGTTAGAATGCATATACAGCAGTTTCGTGTACAATAATGAATAAAGCATTAGTTGCTTTTAGGGTTTAATGCGCTACTTGTTGGTTAAAGTGTGTATATATACGGTATACCTATATAATATTATAGTCATATATGTATAGAATTTGATTTTGTTCGACGAGAACGTTTCAATAGCATCGGTAACTGGTAAGTACAATATGTTTTTGCAACGCATAATCCGATAATAATGATCCAAGTAGATTATTATAAAAAGTACCTATTATTTTCGTTTGAATGTCCAATGTTTTTCAAATCGATTGTGTAAGTACTTATAGTTAAACTGATAAAAAGTATAGATACAACAGTTGTAGCAGAAAAACCGGAAATCTCATTAGCCATTCACCGTCATACAAAGAAAAAATCATTGGGCACGGGTCAAACAATATAATATACTTTTTACAGGAATACCTATCTCAAAAAATCGAGGGTGCACTCGAATCGCCAAATATAGATAAGTAGGAGGCGTTTCCGGAAACTAAATTACATTATTATAAGTTTGCATAGGTAGTAGGTACCTATCACAATATTATAATAATATTACCTATCGTATTATGTGTCATCTATTTTTCTCTGTTGGTGTACGAAAATCTTTAGAATACTATTATAATATCATGTTTATATATAATTTATCAGATACGTGATAGTTTCTATAAAAATATGATAATATTTATTTAGCTTGTTCTATTACAACGTAGGTATACGTAGGAAATATAAATTCAGGTAAATTTATTTATAGTTATTTTTTTTTCGTTGTTGACAATCGCTCTATTGTATAGAAACAGTTGTTTTGTAAAATATGATTTTTAAAAATACTGAAGTACTTAGAAAAGTATTTAAATAAGAATTTCAATTCTCGGAAAAAAAGTATTCTTTTGAACAAATACAAATACTTGAAAAACAGTATTTATAGATAAGTACTTACAAATATATACTTGTATACCTCAGGTCAAGTTTAGTTTTTCAGTATTAAATTTGTTTAAAATATAAGTACAGCATTATTTGGCACCCACGTGTAATAGTAACTATAACTTTCACTCTTGTTTTCTTTATTTTAGAGTTTAGTTCAGTTAAAGTCACAGATAAAAAAAAATGTCTCAATTATTATGTGAAAGAGCATTAAAAATGTTCTTTCAGACGTTGTTCGGGTTTTTCCTTCCAATTTCATCACAAAATCGATAGAGTATAGTAGGCACCTATTTTGTATTCTTTATTTCTACTACACAATGGTGTTTGGAATTAATTGAACTGTTCGTGTGTTGTGCTTTTGAAGCAGATTATCTGTGAATTTAAGGATATGTATACAATGGTTTAAATAAAGTTTCTAGCCAATTTGTATTATTCCATATGGATTATATTGTATATTGTGACATGTTATAGTTTTATGCACATGTTCATTAATATATTCTTTTTATTTATTTTTTAATGTAATTGAATCGAAAATATTAATTTTTTTTTTTTTAATTTTAAATACTTTAAGAAAGATTTTAAGATACTCTTAGGTATTTTAGTACTTAAAAGCCATTTGAATGATATTTTTCAAGTACTTTACAAAACAGTAGGAATGTATAATGGCATGACTGCATGAGAGTATATTAAAATAATAATAAATAATAGGTCTACTCTGTATAAATAATACATTACATCATTACATTCTTATTTGTGTTAAATCAACACACGAATCGTCGAATTATGAATTATGAGTCAATCGACAAAATCAATTCGTGAAATCTAAAATTTGCAGTTTATGTATTCCAAGTATTCGTGTACACAAACGGTCTTCTGAACTCTTATGCAATGTTTGAAGTTCGCACGGAAATATTCGGGGCCAGTAAATTGCTCGCACATCGCTCGCAAAATCGATATTCCGTAATACATTATGTATATCAGAGGAAACACACCGACTGTAAACATAGGGTTCGAGATCAAATTAAAATCGTGTGGGCGAATCGAGTGAGCGGGCCTGCACAATAATCGTCGGGTGGATGACGGGAGGGCGCGTCTAGAAATTCGATCGTTCCAATTTAATAATATTATACATTATAATAATATATTATTCGCCGCACGCAAATAATCTAAACGGCGATGACCGTTATTTATGTTTTGTCGTAAAGGCACGTTGTTCGCCTACACTCTAGTGTCGACGTGCGTGTTGATACTCCGGTACCAGCCGCAGACGTCCACCGTGATACACTTCTTCCCGGAGACGATGCGATCGCCAATGAATGCGCCCAAACAGATCGTCACCAACGGACGCGTAAACTTTGTGAGTATTAATAACGACCGCGGTTACTGGCGGATTTATTGCAACCACTGACCCGGTCGTGTGTCTTACGTCGTTCCAGGTAGTGCAGGACGACCAAAAGTACGCGTACACTAACCAGGGGTACGGTAACCAGACGTCGTTCTACCAGACACAGTTGCCGCTGCCGCAACAAATCATACCGTCGCACCAGTCGCAGAGAATCATGGTCCGAAAGGTGACGAGAAGGTAAACGAATCTCAGTAACGTTATTATTATTTATTACATTTTATAATATAATTGATTAACGATGATAATTGTCACTTTATAATGCAATGGGATACGAAACGTCTATACTATATATACAGATAGTTTCTTATTTTCATGTACCTACCTATAAATATATACCAATATTTTTTTTTTATTCTATACTTTTTATGTGCTCGAAAAACGGCACACTAATAAATATTCGTATTTTGGGGAAAAAATAAATCACATGTAAATGCGTGAAATTTATATAAATCCGCGGTACTTACATAATATAATTTGCTCATTTGTACTGATAAATATTGACACAGTTCGCCGTCGTGGATACATCAGTCACTCTTACATTATCATCCATCTCCTCGCATGCAACGATAATATTTTACTACCCAACTCGCGTACTTATATTCCGTTTGTTATCGAATTATGATTGTAACATTTTATTATTTATCTCTCTCTCCCACTCACTCTATTTTCCTTCATTTTTATCTGTCACAAATTCAATTATAAACTTCGTGCAGAGGTGTAACACGAGTTTGAGTTCAGTGCAAGCATTAAACCATTAAATGTTCTGTACGGCCAATAGTGTATACATAGGTATAGGGACCTATATATGGAATTGTTAGTTATGGGGCTACGCCGTACACTATTTTATTTTGTTTGGGTAAAATCGATAAAGCGACGAGTCAAAATCATATATTATTGTATTATGTAATAACCTACAATGATATAATACACTCGCAGCATGTGTAATAGTGAGAAATAAACATTGAAAAATACGTTTCTCGTCGTAATACTGAACACGTACATTTCAATCTATAATGTGCTGATTGTGTTGACTTGCACTGCGTACATTACGATATAATTGAATTCGATTAATTCATGATTAAAAAACATAAACTAGGGTATTTTCATGTGACGCAAACCGATTGTTATGCAGTTATGCTATTTGAATCAAAGATTATAGACAAGAGATCCTCCACTGCATTGCGACTATAAACTAGAATAATATTCAATACTTTCCAATTTCGTTTTTATTTCAAATGTTTTTAAAAAGCCAAAAATATAAAATAAAAGTCGATCACATTTTTCTGTACAAAACACATTGAACGTGTGGCTAAGATTGATGTTCCTGCCAATTATTCGACTGCATTATTAACTATTGTCGATTCATATAACGATGCGAAACATCCCACCTTACAATACTCCAAATTTAATCAACAGCTACAGCGTTTCGATAATTGTTATTTATTTTCCTGCTCTTTTGTATCTAAAATATTATTCTCGCAAGCTGGCAGACGAGTTCAATCACATTGGGCTTTTTTTTTTAATACTTATTACTATAAGGTAAATTCCTGGACTTTTCTCAGCTGTATTAATTTATTGTATGGTGTCTTATACCAATTTATTATCCACAACTGCAACCAGTGGCGTATATACGAATTATTTTCACTATGGGCCGATTTATCAATTATCACTAGTCAAGCAGCATAGCCATAATTATACATTTTTAAGGGAGCAGCTGTTATATAATTAAGAATTATGACATATTATACAGTTCAAATAAAAATTGCGCGATTCAATTTTATAATTATTATGTAAAATTAATTTTTTGTTTCTTTTTTTAAAAATATTGACAGTGTCGTTTGTATATTTTAATGTTATCTTACTATGAATTTAACATCAAAGTCAATAAGTCATTAAAGCAAGTCCCGTCAGGCCGTCAATATATCTAACATTTCCTTGTAGATTACTCGAAAATGATTTTAATCAACCGGCTAACTTAATCATGGTGAAAAACTGTTAACAGTGTAAATATACATGCAATGCTTTAATTGAACCTGCAATTTCACTATGGGCTCTGGCCTAGGGGGCCTCCCCCCTATATACGCCACTGACTGCAACAACCATGCAGATATCAGCCTCTAGTAAAGATAATGTGGGTTTGCCAACGTAGAACCATTTTTAGTTATTATTCTGCTATTAATAATACTGTTCCTTTGTAATTTTTTCTTTCATTTTCCTTTGTACGTTAATGTTAGCATTTAAGGAACATTTGTCAATAACTTTAATTTTTTTAACATTCGACTAGCAGCCCGTACTTTAAATATCAAATAAGTGAATTAAAATGTGGATTATTCGATTTTTTTTAATTCCCAACTTCAAAATATTTAGCCGGTAAAATATTTTCCAAAAATATAATATCCCAGAACGATTTTTCATAAATCATTATAATATTTTAAAAGGACCGATTATCATACGAAAAAAAATCTCAACAAACCAATTATTACCCGAACGGTAATTAAAATGTTGTTTAAATAAAACGAGGTACAGGTATTAGGGCTTGGTTAACGAAAAAATAATACAGCTACTAACAACACACATATATAACTATATAGTTAAGCCATATAGGTACCTATAGTTGTAAATCCAATAATCTTCCACCAAAACATTTTCATTACGCGCATAACATAATATAATTTATTATCATCGTTCATGTCTGTCATACAAACGAACAGAGATTATTATTTTTTTTAATTATTTTAGTAGTTGGTTTTTACCAAGCACGTACTCATTCGCTTCAATTTAATAACATGTTTAAAAATGTCGTTTGATACATTTACGCGTTATACGTATATTATAAGACGTGCCCATTTTCGTGCTCTTGACAATAATAATGAGAAAAATATATACGATTTACATTTTCGAGATTTTATCAACAAAAAGCAAAAAAAAAAAATAAACATGACGTTTTATTATGATGTTTTAAATTACGATGTGCATAAATAACGCGACATATACATAAAATTATAATATAAAACAACAACAATCTACTGTTATGTTTTGGAAGAGGAAAAATATTCGGTGAAAAAGATAACCTATAGTATATATCATCGTTCCTATAGTAACGCCGAGACAAAAAAAGGAATCTAATTATATATAAAAAAAATACAAGTGCGAATTTGCAAATGGTACCTAACTTGAAGTGTACTTGGAAGTGTTTGGATTGGATATAAGAAATTTTTTTCCTATCAAAACGTCGTACGGTTTTCTATTGTCGGAAAAATGCAGCACCCCAAGGGCCTTTATAACAGCGGGTCGGATCGATTCGAGATTTTTTCAAAACGTTTGGGCGTCCTCTTGTCGGCAAAATCACAGCAGCCACCTATATTGCAAACGTCAGCCCCTCGACCACATCGAAACGTGCATTGTGACGCTACTCGTGTTCACCTCCTCCAGGTGAATTTTGCGCTTTTCGAATTCGATTTTGATTGTGCCGAGCAGTAACCATATTGGTCACAAAATACACGATAACGCGAAAGTAGGCTGTTATAATTTATTTCCGCGGCAGTTACACTTTTCGGATTTTCTCCCTTTTATCAGACTCTCGCAGCAGCATCATGGGCGATCGATAAAACAAACACGCCGCCGGTAATACGTCGCACCTCGCGGTCTTCCGTCTGTGACACGCGCATTGTTTTAATATTATATTTATGTAAGTAGGTATATAATATTATTATAAAATTCGTGTAGAAAATGTTTATGCCGAAATTTAAACGACTATACAATATTATAATAATGAGCAATGAGATAAATTTATTATGCAAACGATATAATATTATTATTATGATCATCATCACTATAGGTATGTTATTATAATAATTAAGGGCTGGTGCGACCTGAAATTAACGAAAATATTAGTGTGTCGCGTGTATTGAGATGATTAATTATGTCGGCGAGAAATAAATTATTATAATCTCACGGTCCTTACATTATTATCGTTTACGAGGCGATCAAAGCGATTTGATTATGATTTTTTCACGAAAAACTATTATAATGTTGTGCGGCGTTTCACCGTTACCTTGCATGATAAGGTATTGAAGTAGGTAATATAATCGACTTCGTATTAAAAATAAGAAAACAGTTCATCGAAAATTCACGACATCGTCATAACTATAGTATACGATTTTTCATTTTTTTTTTTTCATATAACTGTTTTCTCAAGTAATATTCTGCACGCATAATAATTAATATTACACTTGCGCTCGAAAAATTGTAAATATTCACAACATATTAATTATCACACGAAAATATTATTATGTCAGTCAAAAACAACCAAGTTTATTCGAATAACCCAAAAACGGTGGCGCGCTTTCCTATTTGTTCATAAAATGTATTAGTATTTATTACAATATAATTAATCATCTCCGATCGATTGACAACGTTTTCGTTTTCGGGTAATGTCAAACTTCATAACGAACAAAACGGCACAATCACACAGTATAGTAGCAGTGAGTTACACGTGTCTGCTCTCTGTGTATACCTAAATTATTATGCTAACAAGTTTGAGAACGAAACTTACTGATAATCAAATAGACAGGTAATTATCAACAGCAGCGATTATATAGGCGGGCAAACCACAAAATCGATAATTTAATACTATTATATTGTGTATTTCCACATAATATATTTAATATATTATTATTATTCTGTGTTATCACTACGAATTCGTTTTCAAGCAGTTGTGATTTTGTTTTTTCCTTCGCACTTGCGATGCCAAAAGAGCGTCGTTCGATATCCATTTAACGGTGCTGCGTGGTATATATAGTAAATGTCGTCCATGTACTATTCAACTATAATTGAAATATTATAATGACGTGTATACACACACACACACACATTTTTTTTCTCCCCGTTAATTCGACACGCACAATCACGTGTACACTGTACATATATGTGTTATGTACAGGCTGTATATGTACCTCACGCGGGCTCGGTCGTGTTTTAATTCAATAATAAAATATTTATTTGCACAACGTAAATTATTATTATGTTTGTTTCAGTTCACCGGATTCGGATGACACGTACTTCGGAGACGACTCCGAGGAGGGGCGCGACGATCAATACCTGGTTTCGGACAGGTGTGAGAGCAAATTCTATGGTTCCGTGCACGGGGGATCGACCGCCGGATCGACGGCCGCGGCAGGAGGGTTCAGCGCGGCCAGCGCCAACATCACTAGATCCATTAAGGTAACAATAATAATAATTAATAATGATAATATATTCACTGTGAGATCTGAGAGATAGTATCGTTTGATATCATTATTACCTAATGGCTAATATTGTGTGAGGACAAGTGCAGCCGACGAAATTGTTACAAGCCGAAACTTCCTGACGGCATATTATTATATTATGTTCTTAATCGATCAATATAATTGTCCAAGGCAAAATTGACACATAATCCCGCAAGTTAAAAAAAAATGCTTAGTTCGAATCCCTATTCGGGACCGATCCGATTCTCGTTTGTTGAGAATTAATAAGGTTTAATATTTTTGCAACGTTTCATCGATAGTTGTACAGGACGTGCTCGTACTATATCCAGAAGTTGTTCGGTGGATCGGTAAGGGCTGGGACGAAATGGTCAATTCGTAACAGATTTACTCCAAATTGTCATAACCACAAACATATATTAAATAACACTATATTGATGATAGATGCAACACTGATTCTATCATTTATCGTTTATTGATTTAATTTTGATTTGACTCACTAGTAGAGCACGAGGGCAGAAGACGAGTCGGTACTATTATTATGTCCATTCCTCTTCCTTCCACTATATGCGACTCTCGCTAATCAAATCTAAATTAAAATAATGATTGAAAATGATTGCATATTAATGTTGTCAGTCTGCAGAGTTATTTTATCTGTAGTAATGGTATAAATCTACCATCCCTTGCCCCCGGGCGTATAAACTCAACATTATTAATAGCACATTTACTATTATCGCGATTATACTATTAATATTGAAAATATTAACACTTTAAAACCCGTGAACTCATTATATTATTTACAAAACTTTTTGAACATACCTGCAGGGGCAGTACGGCAATAATAAATTATTTAACACCAACCAGCAACGTCTTACGTCAAAACAGTCACAAGAACATAATATTATTCGTCGTAATAAAATATTTATAGCTACGCGATGCTTCATGGAAATTTTTATTTTATAAAAAACCGCAACCCGGTAATATTGTTGACACACGTGTTCTTTGACAATATTTCACTATAGTAATAAATCGTTTATGTTATCGATACACCGAAACGCTGCAGCCGTAGACGGAAGACTACCGGGAACGTATATCACATCGTTATGAATTATGACATTTTATAATATTATGACAAAATAACGGTTGTTGCGTCGTCGGGTCGCGGTTAAAGAGTATTAAAACAATAACAATAATATCAATGATAAAGATCGTGAAACAAAATAAAAGTTGATTTAAAAACATATCACAGCATATTGGTGCCTTTCGATTAAGACCCCGTGAATAAAATGGTGCTGAAGGTGTGGTCTGTTCTTGGTCGATATAACATTTTTATGTAATGGCATCACACTCTATACGCATAAAAGTGTGTAACGTTAGGTGATAATTATTGACAGACTTTAGTAATAACCACGAACGAATACTGCCGAGTAGAGTCCCATCACCTAAACTCCTGTGCCCGAAATCCGAGGACTTATCGTATATATTCGGTCAACCCCCGATCAGACACTCATACTAGCTGCGTTTAAGCTATCAAATCCCTGCACGTCGAGTCTAATTATTATTTCCAGTCGAATTTATGGCCAAAAATATCGATTTCCCTTTGCTTTTTGACGAGGAAACTTTCACCGATCCTTCAATGATAGTACTATACAGTAAGATTTAAAAAAATATAGAATCCGCAGAAGACAATCTATGATATATGGGTAGGTCAAACTTTTTTGAGCCTATAAAATATATTTAATATGGAAACGACTGTTGCAGCAACATGGCAACAGAGGGGTAAATTTCACCTCATACATTAGATAAATAGTGAGAACTGAAAAGTGTGTGTAGTAATGATAACGCTCATCACATATACTTTTAGTCGAAATATTTGTAAGGTAATTTGAACCTGGTGCCCTGAACATTATTGTAAGTACGTGCGTTACTGTTAGTATGTGCTAACCAAAAAACTTGAACTATGCTACCTACACAGCATAAGAATAAAGTGTAATAATATGCAAATTATAAAATCCATTTAGCAATTTAGAATCAGCACAATTAAGCAGCTTTTCATATACCTATTTCAAAAAAATATTTGGTTTCTCTAGTTATAATATTTAACAAAATATGTATTCAATCGTAGTATATAATACATATAATAACAGTGTTATAGTAATTTATATTATATAATATAAATAAAATAAAATAAAATAAAATATTGTATTATGTTATTAATGAGAAAAAAATATTTAAAATTATTACAAAGTGTTAAAAAAACTATGGGGGTAAATAAAGTAATACCTACCTCATATTATTTTATGTTCGGTACTACATAATTTTATGACACAATTTTTACTTATTCATATCAGATGCTATAGCTCATACACTTCAATGTTATTTACCCAATGTGACATGGGTGTCATTTAATACACCTTTTTCACCACCCGTAAACAACTGTGAGTGAAGTTTATATTTACAAACACCCGCAGCTGCTGTAGTTTGTAACGTGTGGCGTAATACTCCAAGCATGATATTCACCCAACCCCCACCCATACCCTCAAATTTATAATATAATTCATAACGCATCCATTCAAATTTTAGAATTTTTAAATAGATACAACCAACGAAGATCATAATTAAAAATAGATTTGTTATGCCATTTCAAGATTGCCTTCAAGCAGAAGCTTTCTTTACAGTAAATTATTTTAAGCAGAATTCTGATAATTTTATTTTAAAAATGTCGATGCGTCTAAATCAAAGTGTAAACTAGAATAGTTCTTGTGTTATCAAATTGTTAACTAGATTTATTCAAATAAACGCATAACTTGTATTAAAATATACCATAGTGGAGTGATCACTGTTTATAATAGGCACATACAACGGCGACAAATGATTTTGTCATGTGTTGTGGCCTGGAGGGGGGGGGGGGTGTTGCTGATTTTTTGCATGCACTATTTTGGTCGTTAAAAATATAACTTATGGTTGTAAAAAACAGGCGGCCACTTACCTGTGCCCAGCCATCTTCCCGTGGGTGGACATGGGACCGGCCACCGAGGAAAGCGGAATGGTGGTGCTCAAACTGGTCGGCGTGTTCTACGTGCTTATCATCGTGTTCGACGTGCTGCTGGTGTTCGTGTCTTCCGAATCGTCCACTTTCGTCTACATCCTGTTGTACGCCCTGCTGATAGCCGTGATCGCCGTGCTGGGCGCCATATCCCGTAAACCTCAGAACAAGTGAGTGCCGTTTGCGAACTATAAATATTATTATTAAGTAAATTAATGTAAACTATCATCAATAATTAGCACATCAATATTATCATTATTTATCGTTACAATTCCCTTCGATTCTGGTAACGCTTGGTTCGACGCGACCAAAATTGAAAATAGCACTACCGTTTTCTCTCGAAGTCGTTTTACGAAAAACCGTCCTGCGGTTAGAAAACACTATGTAGGTATTTTTCATTTTTTGTATTGGAATTGAGTTATTCTTGGATCTAGAGGTGTGTTTTTAACCATACAAAACACCATCGTGTCCTAAAAATACAAAATGTACAATATGTAGTACACAAACGAAATGTGACCTCGATCTAAACAGAAACCGCACACATACATCATACATGTATCATGAAATCGAAACAACTAATTTTGGGCATAGGTTTATTTTATTCTGTAGGTGCCTAAAAGTAATATTAGGTACATCGAATATGAGATATTGTAGTATGTATATTTTTAGATTAATATTAACATTTTAAAATGTTTAACAAGAAGTTAACAATTGTCGTTCATTAAATCTTTGTTCCTATAATAATTATCAAACTCGTGTATTTTTTGTGACGGAAAGTTATCCAAAGTTTTGGTATAAAAATTTATTTATAAGAATAATCTCTATGATTACCTACATCAATTAACTGAACCTCTAGCGATTTTTATTATAATTTTAAGTTTTTATTCATTTATTTAAAATATACTTTCACCTATGTTTATACCAATATAATATGTCACCTACTGAAAATTATGATAACTATATTATTATAACTTATGGCACCGTCAAGGCGTCTACTGTTAAGAATGGCTAGGCAATAATCACCCATTTAATGTAAAAAATGTATTTCCTGGCCAGTTTCACTATGCCTAATAAATGTAGGAAACTGTTTTTATCGGTGGAAACAGGATTTATTGCCTATCTAATATTGTTCAGCAGTATAATTGCAGTAACAGTTTGATTGTCCTCCAATTAATGAAGATATTGAGCGGAGACGGAACAACGGAACCGAACGATGATATCCATCTGATCTGTTCCGTTACATGGATAGAAATTTCGCATCCGGTTCACGAAACTTAATTGTTTGCACATCACGTAATATCAAACCATATGGATTATGTACGCAATCACATAACGAAACAAACAATGCAGGTTATAGGCATTGGACTTTAAAAAATAAAAATAACTTGTCATAATAACTACTAACTGAGGCGTACCTTATCGATACTGATGTGCATTTTCAACGGCCTTGGTGATATTATCCTACAGTTATAATATTGTTATCTGTGATCGAAAAATTATTAATGAAGACATAATTTTGGACGGCAGGGTGGCACGAAACACTGCAGTATTTAAACACTTATCGACGGAGACGGTGTATAAAACCTTGTTTCATTTAATGGTTCGATAAAATTTAATGGAGTAATCGTGGGCACCGTTAAGGTAACATTATAATATTTATATATAGCACTATTGATTCATTTAATGTTTTTAGTGACCGTTCAAGCAACCAGAATTAAGGTGTCTACAAATATAAATATTGAGTATTAAATATGATAAATAAATGATACTTTTTATTAAGCAATCCGATAATAAATAGTGGTACTTAATTTTTTATAAATTGTTTCTATCAAATGTAAATTTATAAATTTAAATTATTCATCATTCAAATAAATTTGAACATGGCAAACTGTTACATCATTTCGATATCCATACTAATTACTATCATTGCAGCAGATATATGTTAATACAAAAAGATTCTTATTAGTCGTGCATTTATGTTTACAGTTACACTTTTGAAAACTCTTTGGTCCAGATGGTGATATTTTTATATCCAAACCCTGTTGCTCCCCGAAGAGTTTTCAGGTTCACCTAACCTTTATGAATACTATATAATACCTACGTCTACACATAGGTGTGCTTGCAGGGTGCTATAGCCCTAAAGTCTCAAGCCTAGGCTCTAACTTATCCAAGGTCAATTAGTATGAAACCTTAAACTATATAACATCGGCAGACGTCGTCCATAATAGTTAAGACAATAATTTACAACATGTCTATGCAATATGTTATAATATTATTAGTTATTACAATAAATTTCTAATAAACTACGGCAAAGCTATGACAAACGATAAATTTTAGTCATCGGGTAACACTCGAGGCATTTTAGACGTTCCCTCTGAAATATAGTTATTTCCTTAATTACTATCATCATGGTTAGTAATATATTATAGTCATAATATATTATATAATATTTATAGATAGGTACGCCATAAAAGTGAAATTAAATTATTATTTCGATATAATTCCGACTTTAATTATCGTTACGAAACTTTAAAACACGTGAATAATTTGATTTGATTAATTTGTTTTGATAAACATATTCCTAGAATTGTTCTAGTGTTTTAAATTGCAATTTCTAATCTAATTATTTCTGCCATATTGTGAGTCCTATAAAGAATCCTGTGTTTCACTCCTTACAAATGCAATTTTATAATGGTACCGAAACCCTTTCTATAATATTAGCATGTCACGTGTCCAAATATTTCAAATCTACACGCCTCCCGTCACACTTTTTGATGTCGATAATGTATATTAGTAATTATATTTAACACGCATATATGTGCATTATTAACGCTCAGATACATATCATAATTGGATATTCGTATGGACGTTTTACGAAATGTCTTAATTAAAATATTGGAAAATATTTAAATACAAATTCATCGCATCATTACTGTGCAAAACATATTCTATACATTTTACAAAGTTCATTATGACAGCCAACAGATAATATTAAATACATAGTACATTTTGTTTGTGGAGAAAAAAAAAGAGAAAAACATTTTGTTCAGAGGCTATTTCATATTAATTTATGTTGTCAAAACAAGACGTTCCCTGAAAGTTTGGCTTCAGTTTGAATACGATTTCTAAGTAAGTGTGCGGTTCGTCAAAGAGTAAGTGCAAGTTGCTTATATATAGGTACTTTCATAACGTTTCTACAACATTGTTCAGTTTGACCTTAATAATAAATTGAATTCGATTCGCTTCAGCAAAATGGAAATATATTTTGATGGTTTCGCTCTTCGACAAGAGCTTGGGGACAACGTGACTTTAGACCATCGCGATCGTTTCGACATCTAAATCGTTTCGAGTAAAATTATTTTTATTTACAATATTGGTTGAAGTACATAAATTGAAAGAAACAAAAGGAAAATTGCTTTACTCGAAATATCTAACATGGTATAGAACACCTAATACATAAGGTGATACGACACATTAACAAAATAACTATAAGAATTGTAAATTGTACATTTGATGACATAATTATAGTCGCAATACTAGAAAAAAATCTTCTACTAGATGATATTGCGTAATTTTATTTTTTGAACAATTCAAATGAAGAATATCTCAGAAACAGAAAAAAAGTTGTTCCTAAAATAATTAGCCTGCGTGTTAAAATTTATTAGTTCTGTCACCTCCTCAATCATTCTTGTGTAAAACCTCAGCTTGATATTATAACATATTTAAACGTAATTAAACCGTATCTCTATACTTTCATGTTGCATAATATATTATTACTATAATTACACATGTACTTACTCTTGTATGGAAAAATACAAATGTCTTGTTATCGGTATCCTAGATAACATGAAACCACCACAGTTTATTCGATCTAAAACCGTCACAAGCTCACGATACAAATTTCTCACGTTCAGACGATTTATTTATTTATTTTTCCGTCACGTATTTCACTTTAATATCACGAGTAAAAATTTTGTTGTCGAAAATGGAGATTGCAATGTGGCTATAAAAATTTAATGTTCGCGGAGGGAATGTGACGTATACAATATAAAAAAAAAAAATCGAAAAGTAAGCCAAATAGTTAACCACGCTTTATTTATTAGTTTCGAGGGACGATTTTATACAAATTTTAATTAAAACCCACATGACCCAATTACTCGTTTTGTAAACATAAAATATCTATAAATTAATAGTGTATAATAAATTATATAAAACGTATTTATAAATGTTGCCTAAAATCGTTTTAAACTAAAATTCAAGTTCATTGTGCTCATAAAAATCGGATACTTCGTTATTAAATTATTATCGAAATTCGTCACTAAAACAATAAAAATAAAACAAAACCACCAGTAAAATAATAATAATAAAATAAAGCTTCTCATTGTCTTGGAGCGGACTCAGTGTCTAATAATAACTGCAGGTATTATTGCGATATAATACTCATATATATATTATATATTTTTTGATTTGTTTACCACCTGGTACGAAGGAGGTTGTAAAAATGCCAGACTTGTAAAATATAATAAGATGGAATTCCACAGCTTTCGCCTACGCAGCATCATTATGAACTCTTAGTAGATACTCCGTTTCGTTCGTTTTTATTATATTCTCGCACTTGTCTTGTTACTGTCGAAATTAAAAATCGGTACTTACTTTCTCACCAGCATTATTTTATTCTAGCCATAACAATATTGTGGACAAAAAAAAACCTCAGTCATTCTTGAAAACTAGTACAAAAACTTAACGCTTATAATGTAATAATAATGATATATTTACGCTATTCATATTTTTTTTTATTGGAGAATGAACTGCTATTTAATATTAATTTAAAACAGGTGCGAAAAGAAAAAATATATATATTAAAAAATAATAATTTGAACACTCACATGGATACATGAATCGTCTAAATTTATTGAAAATAATATTTCATTGATGTGCAAGAGTCTAAAATCGTTCACTAAAGATGAAAATTAGTCTTAATTTCGTATAAATTCGTAACAGATTGCAAACATTATACGCTTAATCAATCTATTAAAGTATTTTATTCTGTAACTGTAAAAAAAGCATTACTCGGTGTGTGTTAATTATTATTATTTGAAAGCATAGCACAGCTGTGTATATATTGTGCAAGTCTGGACTCTAGAGTATGCATATATCACGAACCTCATAATTATTATTATTATATTCTCATACTAGCTCGTGGAGAGGTTTATTTCTTTTTTAAATGTCAAATTATTTTGCAGGCTAATTAATTCCTTTTTTGTTTTTAACGAATAGTCAAAACTATCCTAACGCAGTTTGTTGAAATGTCATAAAAAAATTTGGCTATTTCAATAATATTGGTATGCATTCATATTTTTCTATAGTGTATTAATAAAACAATATTATGGATAAACGGCGAATGTTAAAATATTTTAAATTGTATTTTATAATATGGTATGTGTTTATTTGTTTGATATTAGTAATATTCAGCTAGTGGCCTTTAAAAAATTTACACATCTTATTATTATTGTATGGTAAAATTATAATCACTTACCAAGCTAGTTAACATAATTAATATTTTTTTTGTGATTTCCTCATCTAGTTTTCGATATTTGCTGTATGAAACTCATGGAATATTCCCGTAAAAAGGGGTTTAAAAAGAGAGTCTATATAAAATATGACTTAAATAAATATTTATCGCTTGTGTAAGGTTAAAATTATTAATACTTTTTATTCTAATTTTACAGACAAATACTCGTATTCAAAACACCATGGGTTCCATTCGTACCGTCATTCTCAATTGCTGTCAATTTATACTTGATATTTCAGCTGAGCTCGATGACTCTACTCCGGATCGTCGTATGGGTTTCAATTGGTATGTTTTATAACACTTTTAGTATGAGAATAAATGTCAGTCTGTAGCATTCGTAGAATATGTTTCAAATGTAGAGTAATGTATTGTCAAATCTAACAGAAAATATTGATATACTATCATAAGATTCCTAATTATATTTCGTTTTTAACTTAAAAACAACTTTGTCAATTTCCCATTTTAGTTGAAATAGATATAATTTATTTTTGAAGTAAGTAATAACAAAGTTTTCTAAAGTTTATTCTTTATTCCGAGAAAATTTAATTCGTGCGCTTTTAATATTTACATATAATATACTCCATTGTTTATTCAACAAATATTTATCTAAGTCAATTTAATTGAATATTTTGTTATTCTTAAGTGTATTTGTGATGTCGGAGAGAACAAGTAATCTATTAATTTTACTTTTGTTTTCTTAAGCGTCTTCAAGGTCGTAGTAACGAGTTGTGTTAATAAAATATAATTACAAAATAAAGTTACCCAAAATCACATTGATAAATATGTTTAAATGTTTGTAGTCTTTAAATACTAAACTAATAGTTTTCCGAAATGTTGACTTCAAGTTATCTTTATTACAAATCATCATTAGCGACATGTAAGTTTTTCAAAAATGTTTTATTTAATATTCAACGATGGAAAACGTAATGTCATTATTTTTAATTATCCTTTATATTGCTTAGAATAAATGATTTACTTATTATGAAATAGATTTTTTTTCATCCTTGGAAATTATAAGCATTTAAAATATATATTTTAAGGTGAATAGTTTTATAGTTTCAAATTATAAGAATAGTTATTTCAAAATATGCTGTGCTGATAAGACTGCACTACTCGGGTGGGGTGGAAAATTTCACTTGGACAGCTGGGAAATTCATATTGGCACATACTAGTTGAGTTTAAAATGAGCTTCTACGTATTATATTGAGTTCGTAGGTTTTCTACAAACCTTTCGAGCTGTGTCGCAAATAATAACTGAAAACTATATGCCTTCCTTTCCACTTTTACAGACAGGGGACTATAATTTATTTAAATACCATTTACGCGTACGTTTTGAACACAACCATCTTTGAATATATCTTTAAACACTTTTGAAAAGCAAATTTATAGCCATAAGTAATGCATAATTTATAGTTTGTCTTCTACACTTAAAATGTTATCAACTTCCATTATTAATGAACAAATTTTAATTTAAAAAGTTTAAAACTAAGTTGTTATAACGGAAGTGCGAAATTAATTTTCAGCTCTATCTGATTTATCGTTCGATAAAATCTACAGATAAGGTAGGTATCAAAAAGTGGGGTCATCCCAGTTACATAACCTCAATGGTTTGATGTTATTTATATCGACAATGAACTTTGGCGGATGTTACTCGGACGGTCGGACAGTCGGGGACCTACAGCCAATATAAATTGCGGATGCAACTTTGACCTATAGCTAACAAACCACAGATGCAATTCGGTTGTCGGCGATATGTGTATTTTTTTTTAACGAGGCTTTTCTTTACTCAAATAGAATATTATAGTGGTACACTTTTACAATTTTATAGGAAAATGTTGACATGGAAGAATTATTAACAATCATTTACTTCATTTCAACGAGCAATGAATAGGTACACTTTTAAAAAGTATAATAAATATAAATAGTAATCAATTATGTCCGATGTAGTAAAAATTAATTGCTAATAATCACGATCCACGCTCGTTATCGAGCATAGGTATTTACAATAGCTATTTAAAATGCAAATTCGCTAATATAAATATACGTGATTGCTCTTCTCCATAAATACGTCGACCTTTGATACACATACATTGTAAAAACTGAGTTATCACGATATGATAAAAATATAATATTATGATACTACAATACGATTTCAATTTTTCCAGGTCTATTCGTCTACTTCTATTACGGGATAAAGCACAGCACGTTGGAACCGCGGGTGGACGAGGACGAGAGAATTGAACTGAAAATGAAATCGCAGACGATGACAAAACCGCAAAATAATCGACCACAAGCACCGGCTCCGGTGAAGACTTCCACTAACACCAACACCACCTCCACCTCCAACACCACCTCCACCTCCAACACCACCTCCACCGCCAAAACCACTACCACCAACGCTAGAGTAGCCTCCTCCACCACTGCAACAGTGGTCGATGAGAAGCCCGAACCGAAGAGGCCGACCAACTTGGAACCGTTACCCGCCAGCAACGACAGTAATTTGTTTGTGTCACCGTCCGCGTTCCCGAAGTGGGAAGACTAGATTGACTGACCAAAAATTTAAGAAAAATAAAATAAAATAAAATTTAAAAAAAAATTAACGTTTTGTCGACTCGACACCGAGACTTCAACAATGTTGCGTGTAAATAGGGATGTAAAAAATATTAAAAAAAAAAAAAAAATATAACTACTTATTAACTTATAATTATATTATTACGGTAACAAAATCAATTCTTTGGGCTACCAAAATGACTATACTACACTATAATATTATTATATGTTATTTATGACACGTGTAATATGCGTGATGTTTTTAATATATTCTATTACCTAGCTATTATTATTATTATATAAATTTATATTATATTATGATATTATATATTTTAACTGTTGAACGTAAAAAAAAAAAAATGTCCCGCATTAACGGACGAATTGGATCGAAAAGGTTTTGAACGAGCTCATTCTCATCACATCGTCGGGGCTCGTTTATTGGTATGCATTTCGATATTATACTATTCGATACGCCGTTATTTTACTCTTTTTTTTTCTTTGAATTCACGCCCCCAAACCTCCCCCCGCTAAGACTAACATTAACTTAACTGCATCATATATACATATATACCAACATGCCCTCATAATATAATCGCGCGTAGGTTCGTTTCAATAGTGCATGCAAAACCTATTACCCACCCTCCGCTCGATCGTCGTCGTTCTTCGATTTTTGTTCTTATAATATAGCGGTATCGAACGAACGACTAGCATTTATATTATTATAATGTAATATCCGTCAACCCCCCCCCCCCCCCCACGAGTGAACGCATAGGTGAAATTCCCCACGACAAATGACTGAAAACGATGTCGGGGTTATATACATTATATTATTATAAGCGTGAGTTCGAAAACGGTCTCTCTGTCTCTCTGTCTCTCTCTCTATTTCGTTTATTTGAGGTCCAAAAAGGGTCCGAAATGTGCATTGGCGACGTGCCATGACTACGCACACACACCGATGATCTCCGGTCGATATCGATTTTCATTCGTTTGCTCGTGAATTACAATAATAAGCATATTTATAAAGTTGACTTTGACGTAGGTAATGTTGTATGCGCATAGGTATCATAGTAACTATTTCGTTTTGACCCACAACAACACGGTTATGACATTTTTTTAAATGCTTTATTTTGCCGATTTCCAAATTATTTCAGTAAAATGTCAGTTTTTGGGAAGTATTCTCAACTATATAACTCCGTCTGCCGACTTTACGCGGAAATATCTCTGCACACGCCGAAGGTATAACGATGTATTATTGTTACGCCGCCGTCTCCCTGCATATTATTATAATTATTATTACTGTGGCCAACCTACACGTTTTATGACATGCCCACCCGCCCACCCCCACGACAGACAAATCGATAGTGTAAAATATTATTCGACACGTTTAAACAAAAAAAAAAAACCGCCGACGATTCAAATGTACTTCGACAATGGTCGTTTTCGTTTGATGAGGGATTTCTATCTATACGCACTCGAAGGCGAGAAGTAGGCAGACACGTCTATATGCTCAATATGATATGAGTGAGTGAGTTTGTGTGTGTGTGTGTGAGTGTGTGTGTGTGTGTGTGTGTGTGTGTGTGTGTGAGCAGTTATTGATTAATATTAAAACGCGAAAACCTTTTATGTTGTTTATTATTTTTAATTGCTAGACGTACTACTACAGCTCATATTTTATACCAGGTCCCGACACCCGGTTACGTTATTTCGTCCCTATATTCTGTTCGGACGTAGTATTTTATTGGAAGGCTGCCTGTTTTGTCGAAAAAAACTATCTCCCCCTTCGGCCACCACGTCGAACGCAAATAAGGAAATGCAGACGGATTTACGACGTAATCCAGCGAAATCGTTTTTTTTTTTTAAATAGCCAGCGATTCATCCCGTAGATTTGGGCATAATAATATTAATTATATTAAACTAACAAATTATTATATTATTATGATTTATATAACAAGATAAATATATATATATATAATATATTATATACATTTTTATTATATTACTACATTATGTTTACCAAACAATATTTGTTTGTTTTATTGTTGTGGCAAGACTGGTTTAATCGAATTGTAACGTAAAATAATTTGAAATGTTTTAAATTTGTTAAATAATTATTATGTTTATACTTGATTGAATAATACTATAATTATTGAAGTCCCTTTTTTCAGCGGTCGTCAGCTATTACATACAATAGAATAGTCGGAAATCGAGAAATAAAATAGTACATTTTATTGTGCGATAATGAGCGGGAATAATACGAGAGAATGATAACACCTGAGCTGGATAAACAGAAAGTGCACTTAAATATTGTCCGGGAGGTCGACCATGAAGACCACACCCATCGCACGCGGTTTGGACCATATTTCGAGTCACCGTGAGAATAGTTTCGGCTTGTCTGCTGGCGACCAAATTTTAATAATACATCGAAGCCCTCGTATAGACATAATTTAGCGGTTTTCCCCATTTCAATAAGTGAACAGATATTATGTGTATTTTTCAATTTACATTCATTTATAATATAATATTAATTACTTCATAGATTCTTAGTGATATATATATATAAATATATAAATATAGAGAGAGAGCGTGTTTAAATACTATTCCTAGAATGTTAGTATATTATATTATACGCTTTTGAAACGGACGTTGTCGCGCAAAGGTTCAAATCTTCATCCAAACTTATTGTTATTACGAAACAACACTGTATAGGCTGTAAATAGTAAACATATTATACGAGTATCTATATTATGATTGACTTATAATAATATATTGTAACGGAAATCATTGCATTTTTTTTTCTTAAATAATTGTTTTACGTGCCTTAAATACACAACCAAATAATATTAAAATATTGAAACGCATTGTGTACGATGAAGTTTATTGGAAAAAAAAAAGTTTGTATACTTTTTCGGAAATATTGTTCCCTCTTGGAAATTATTACTCTTAAATTCATTTTTCTCCTATTTTTTACTAAATCGAAACATTGCACAGAAAAGTACAATATTATAAACGAAATAGGTGTACAATTCAGGATTTCTATACGGGTTAATATTTAATATCGCAGTGCCATTACTCTGATGCCAATTTTACGATTATACGTACATTTGTTCGGTTACCATTATTATAATTATCATTATCATTATCATTATTACTATTATTATTATTATTATTATTATTATTATTATTATTATTATTATGTTTGTTATTTTTTTATTGTTTGTAAAATATTTGTTACTTTTATATCTTACGTATTATTATTGGTATCGTTACTATTTTTCATTTACTTCTAAGCATACGAAATCAAAAATAATTTTACTGACGAAGAACACTGAAAATAGATACAAAAAAATGTCTCGGTACCGGATCAATGTGATATTATTTACCGTTCCGAAATCTCAAAAAGTCAAACGCGCTTGGTACGGATAATTATTTTTGAAACTCTTAAAATGATTGTAAAACATCCTAACATCAAGGGTCGTCGTACTAGGCAAATAATAAATTAATGGCGAATGCGGTTGAAAGCAATCGAAATACTTATATCCATAGTTCCTAATTTTTTAAGATGGTATTTCGAGAATAAAACACAACTGGGGTTAGTTTTTTATTAGGTTGTCTTTAAAACGAGCACATTGCTGTCTCAGCAGTCACTTAATTTAAACAATTCGATAGGATATACTGGACAGTCGATCAGGAGCTCTCAGTATTTTCAGGTCCACTACAGTCCCCTGTAATGTCACCACGGCTTTTTTTGACCCTTTTTTATGATCGCATTGAAAATTACCTACATAGACGACCCTACAAAATTCCGGCGAAGCAACAGCGTTTATTTTCTTGAAGGATTTTTGATTCTTACGGGTTTTAAAATTGTATTCACTCGTAACTCGTAAACAGTATAGACCAAGAGTACCTTATATGTTTCGATTAACTTACTATTGTTTTTTTTTCAAATATAATAGAGATCCATGCCAATCAACTATAGTAGAATTCAATAAGTTGTCACTTCGTCAGTAAGTCTCGTGACGGTACCGGAAATAGAACTAAACAAAAAATAGTGCGTTAGCAATATTTTCCTTATTTCTGGGTTTGTAGATGTTTTCTTTTCATTTCGTGTGCTATTTATATTGTACGAAAAATAATATTACAATTGTATCGGTGGCGATATTGTTACCCGAAAACCATTCAATTTTGCTGCACTATTTACCGTAGTATAAACAAATTAAATTTTTGACATTAATCATTCTTGCTCTAACGCAATATTCAAATTATGAAAAATAATAAAAAATATCTTACATGATCGAATTTCGAAATGGTTCGTTAGGAATTCGAAATAAAAAAGGGCCTTAAATCAATATATAATACTACTGTTGATATTTTTGTTTTTCAATTGTCTACAATATCATCCCCACCGCTAGTGGTGTGTAAATGTATTTGTTTTTGTTGTACTTTTATTTCAAGTTATATATTTGGATTCAAGTAAACTTTCAAAAAATCCGATCTAATTCAGTTATATAAATTCATAAATAGCTTTCAATTGATTTGCCAGTGTCCTTCGAAATAAAAAAATTGATTTAACACTAATGCGTTTTATATAGATAGTATTTATATTATATAGATTAATGGTTACCTATAACCTTGAGTATTATTATCATTATCATCCTTCACATCTTTATATTATATTGTATTTACATATAATATTATATATATATTATGTACAAGCATTGAATGTTGTTTAAGACAAAAAAAAAACAATTGTTATTCTACACTTAATATAAATAAAAACATAATTAATATATATATATATAATATTATATAAAATAGTTGTAAACTTTTAAACTGTTTATCTTTGATTTGTTTTTCTAATATTATTATTATTATTATTATTATTACGTCTTCTATCAGACTTTTGAACATGTTACCTAATAATCGTTATTAATTATTATAAATAATAAAGAAATCTAAGAAATAATCAATGCATGATATTTGTTTTTTTCGTGTAGGTACTTTGTATAGTATTTGAACAGTAAAATCTCATACAAAGCTTACGTTCAGCGTCAAACAACAAAATAATAAATATTCTTTTATGCAGCAAGGAAACCAATTACAATACGTCAACTACAGGCACAAATTAAAACAAATATAAGTTTTTTGTTCAACTTCGGTTCCTCGACTTTTTTTAGAAAATATTCGGCTTTGAAATCGGAATTAGTCATAGCCGCAGATGGTCACCGTTTCAAAAAAGTTGAGTGGATAGTGTCGTAGTGTGACACTATATACCCGAAGAGACCGAAGAGCACAACGAAAACTATGTAAAAATAAATTTCAATGTCACAATAATACGATTAAAGCTGGGTGACGACCAACGTTCGTCATTCTGTGCCTTATTTCTATTCGCCTTTATGCTTATACCCAGATATCTTATGGCCACCTTATGTCCAAGTTAAGGATAATCGCCAACAACTCAATAATATATATCTGATTACTGTCGATGATCTTGCGATGGTGTTTGAATTTTCATCATTAATAGTATGGTGTAAATAGAAATGATGAAGCCGGTAGTGTAGACCATTCGTCATAATCGTTTCCAGATAATGTTTGGAAGTTAAAACATTTTAGGGAGCAAACCTAATTTAACAGTAAAATAAAAGGTATGAGACACACGGTTTGATCTCAGAGATGAGTGTATTTTATTTTCGATTTTATAATACTGATAATATGATCCTTGCAATTTTGTTGTGGATAAATATTGTTTTTATCATTATTGTAAGTTATCAACTATAATACCATAAATTACCATAGAACAGTGTTAATAGGTTCCTAGTAATGAAAGTACCTAATAGCTTAAAATTAATCTAAATATTTGAATAATTATTGAATTTAGTATAAAATGCTCCTGTAACATACGTAAAAGTGTATAAGTCCCGAAGAATAATGTTTTTGAATTGCAACGAAATAACTAAAATCTTTATTCTCTGTTCAAACGCATTTATAAATCTAATTTCAACAAAATGTCAACTTAAAATATCCACAAAAAATGAACTGTGTAACATAGTATGTAGTATTTTTTTTAATTTGTTGATAACCATATTAATTACTTATGAAAAACTTTGTATTAAATTTTAAATAATTAGCTGTAAAAAAATGAACATTTTATAGATTTTTAACTATACAATTATTTTCAAATGATTTATTTTGTCGAAGTTTGAACTTTGAATATTTATAAAAAGTTGTACCTTTAATATTTGTTGGTTGCCACAATGCTATGACACATTTTATGAGTAGTCTTGTATTCAATTTTCAAAACTTAACAAAATCAATTCAAATTCGTTATTTTGAAGAATTTGGTCACCGTTGCTTCGCAGAACTATACATTCATAGGTTCGTGCTATAAACTATAAAGAGCTTAAAATGTATCTTGCAAATATTTTCAATATGTGGGTATGGTAAAATTAATAATACTGGGTGTAAGCCGTAAGGCTGTTATTCATTTGGCCATGTTATTATAAGGATTTACCAGAACATTTTAAACGTGTTTTAGTGCATTTATGAAAACACGTTATGCACAAAACTTAATAAACAGAAAAAAAAAAGAAACAAATAAATAAATTACTTTACACTGAAAATACTTTAATTTTCGTGTTCAAAAAATTTATTTGGCAAAATTATCAAATTGGAAAAAATAAATTGAATGACATAAAAATAATTAAACAACGATTTGCGGCAAAAAAATTAATAGAAAATGTACCTTTTATCTCAACTCACAAGTATAAATATTAACACTATTCTAAAAAGTGATAGAAAAAGTAGAAACATATTTTGGAATACTATTGAGGTTTGTGGTGTCTTTTAGGTAATGGTAATAAGCTCAGAATTGTATGCGCTAAAACATGCTTATATTATGCAGGGAAATATAATATGAGTTAAAACATGCTAATATATTATTATGAAGGTAAATATTACGCCCTAAAGTGATTGTTTTAGGAAAATGCACCCAAGCGTATCCCAGTAGTTACGTAATATTCGTGATAAAAAAAGCTTCAATTAAACCTACGAATAATACACTTTTTAAATTAGGTATAATAAAACCACTAAAATCCTTATTTTTCGTTTAAATAATATCCAATTTCGAAAAATATTAACTCAAAATGTGTATAAAAACAAATTGCATTGCAAATGTATTCTTGAAGTTTTTAGGCTTTGGTGAACTAACCAATTCTAAGAATCATTTTTTGAATTTTCAAGCTTTAAGCTTATTAATTTTCAAGGCTCCGATAAGAGGGAGACTAAACGATCACAAATTGTCAATAGTGCGTAATTCCACAGAAATCCAGACAAAGAATCTTGATAAGAAGTACGACGTTTTGGTCAGAAGTCTAGAACTGGAAGCAACACCCAGTAGGTACCACAAGTAGTAACTCCAAGTGGCC